GCAGAGAATTACTCATGTCGGTATCAAGGACCAGGTGGCCGCTATCTTCCTAAAACTTCTCCACAAAGGGGAGTCTGTGTTACACACTGTACCCCTACATCCATGTCCATATGTGCTGCTCTGAAGGCAGCTCAGTGGATGTTACAACAGCAGAACAGAGCGAGTCCAGCTCCTTGTCAATGTTTCTTCCTGACTTGCAATGGTGACAAGAAAATGGACAGAAAATGTTTTCCACTCATTCTATTTATATCTTCAATTACAGGAGAGTCCCCTCCACACCTCTTTTAACAGTGAAGCATGTGCAATCACCAAGGAAGAAAGTGCACTGAAACTCAAACCATCTGACTGGTACTGATGTTGGAGGGGTACTGGCTCCACTTTCAGCTCTCCCTCCATTTGCTTTAGCTTTCTCCTAAAAGAAAGCTGACATTTTGTTTTCTCTTCTGCACCTCTGAGAGACTGCCTGCTCCCTTCTCCATTAATTGCAGGTCTGCTTGGGCATTCCTGTTACCAAGAACAGGCTACAGCTGTTCTCATCCTGTCCCCATTTCTAAACTTCTTTGTCGCTCCGATAGCCTTGTAAATCCTTAACTGATTCTCAAACATTAATCCAGCCCTCTTCCTTCCATAATCAGCCCAAACACTCTAGTCTTCTTCCTGCTTTCATTACCCTTCTGTCTCCATCTTCTAAAGGTTCAGTTCCTCTAGCCTATTGCCTTTAATGTTTTCAGTCCTGCACAGACTCTCCAGGACCTACTTCACCTGCAGGACCCAGTTTCCTTCCACCCACTTGATGGCAGCCCAACATTTGGTTTCCCTCCCACTTCCTTGGGAGGTTACTGGTTGGCTATGAGCCACTCTGTCTACAATGGTAGCAGGGTGATGTGTGAAGACAGGACTCCATACAGACTCTACACTTTGGTAAGGAATAGGCATGAGCTGCAGAAGGCAGTATAAATAAACACAGCTCCAGGATTTTTGGAGCTCAAAGAGCAGTAATGACAAATTGACACATCACACATATAACCAGGTGCAAATCTGACAGAAGCAGTACCGAAAATACTGTTTTTCAAGAAAGGCAGGCTGTTAACCAATGTGTACATCTACAAATGAAGATTCTAAAAGTGAAAAGCAAAATAGTTTGCAAAGTGGCAAGCACATGCAATCAGGCAGGGTGGAAATTAAGCCATTTTGCCATCAATGGTGGTATCAGCTAGCAAAGGCTGCCATATGGAGTGCTCTTCACTGTCTGGCATACTGCATAGCAGCACAGTGTAGCAATGCCCCCTGTAATACCTTTTATGTATATCTTAAGAAGGAGGAGCCAAGGGGGATAACTTACATGAAATGGGACCTTCTGCTCTGTAATAGGCACAGCTTGCTGATTCCCAGGCAGGCACTGCCTGCAGCATGATCTTTCCCATGCCCCCAGATACTGCTTTGAACATGATGTAGGATGTCTTTTTGAGACACAGAGGCTGCCTCTTCTTTCCCTGTGACCAGGCTATGAAGCCCTTATACCTGATTCCTCATCTTCAAGGAAGTCTGGAAGTAAACAGCTCCTGGCCTCTACTGAAGATGTCCATACAGATAAAGCAGCCTAGGATATAGGTGTGATCTTCAGAAAGGTCAGATCCCTGCCTAGATGTCACTTTTAGACTCTATGGCTCTCAGGAGGACTAGCAGGACACAACAGCCAGGCAGCAGCATCTGTGTGTGCATGCATATCTACAGGAGCACTGCTGGGGCAGACAGCAGGTGTGGGTGAGGAGCCTGTGCACCCTACACTGGAGCATGCCAGTCTCCACTTTTGCAGCTCTCCTTTCTCTCCCCAGTACATTTAGCAGTGGTGGAAGTCCTCCAGGCTGGTGAGTCAGGAATCACCTGGCCAAATTTGAGCCAGCTCCAACCTTCTGCTCTCCTCTTCCCCAGCTTGCTCATGCTGACAAGCACAGAACAGGGCAGGAAACACTGTGTTTCATTCTTCTGTGCATTTCTATGTCCCCTGTGCTAAGGCAAGAGTTTCTCCTGTGAAACACAAAGTTTCCATCTGTTCAGCTTCACAGGAAGGAGGCAATAAGGAAGGAGGTATTTGCCTCAGCATTTCACTGCTATAGCAGCTGTCAACACACTGTGAATAGTCTTAAACATTAAGTCTTCATCTTAAAAAAACCCACACTCTCAAAATCACAGCATTAATTTAGCAAAACAAATCTGAGGAGCAACGGCAGGCATAGTTACATAACCGCTCACCAGGACTGCTGCAAGAGACAGTTGGGAAACAATTATCTAAGCTTAGCTGTGGTCAGAACCTCTCTGCCCAGGACTTCATAGAATCACACAGAATTACAGAATTATCTCGGTTGGAAAAGACCTTAAAGATCATCTAGTCCAACCATTAACTTAACACTGACCATTCCCAAATACACCACATCCCTCAGCACTATGTCAACCCGACTCTTAAACACCTCTAGGGATGGGGACTCCACCACCTCCCTGGTCAGCCCATTCCAACCCCTAACAACCTGTTCTGTAAAGAAAGACTTCGTAATATCCAGTCTAAACCTTCCCTGGTGCAACTTGAGGCCATTCCCTCTTGTCCTATTGATTGTTATTTGTTTAAAGAGACTCATCCCCAGCTTTCTGCAACCTCCTTTCAGGTAACTGTAGAGGGTGATGAGGTCTCCCCTCAGCCTCCTCTTCTCCAGACTGAACAACTGCAGTTCCCTCAGCTGCTCCACGTATGACCCTGCACCAGCTACGTTGCCCTTCTCTGGACACACTCGAGTCATTCAATGTCCTTTTTGTAGTGAGGGGCCCAAAACTGAACACAGGAATCGAGGTGCAGCCTCACCAGTGCCAAGTACAGGGTTAAGATCCCTTCCCTGTCCCTGCTGGCCACGCTATTGCTGACACAAGCCAGGATGACATTGGCCTTCTTGGCCACCTGGGCACACTGATGGCTCCTGTTCATCGGGCTGTCAATCAGCACCCCCAGGTCCCTCTCTGACTAACAGCTCTCCAGCCACTCCTCCCCAAGCCTGTAGCACTGCTGGGTGTTTTTGTGGCCCAAGGGCAGCCCCCGGCATTTGGCCTTATGGAAACTCCCCCAGTTGGCCTCAGCCCCTCACTCCAGTCTGTCCAGGTCCCTCTGCAGAGCCTCCCTACCCTCGAGCAGATCAACACTCCCGCCCAACTTGGGGTCATCTGCAAACTTACTGAGGGTGCAGTCGATCCCCTCGTCTAGATCATCAATAAAGATGCTAAACAGGAGTGGCCCCAAAACCGATCCCTGGGGTACACCACTCGTGACCGGCTGCCAACTAGATTTAACTCCATTCACCACAACTCTTTGGGCCTGGCCATTCAGACAATTTTTTACTCAGTGAAGTATGTGCCCATCCAAGCCACGAGCAGACAGTTTCGCCAGAGAATGCTGTGGGAAAGTGTCAAAGGCCTTGCAAAAGTCAAGGTAGACAACATCCACAGCCTTTCCCTCATCCAGTAAGGAGGTCGCCCTGTTGTAGAAGGAGATCAGGTTTGTCAGGCAGGACCTGCCTTTCATAAACCCATGCTGACTGGGCCTGATCCCCTGGTTGTCCATTATATGACTTGTAATGGCACTCAAGATGAGCTGCTCCAAGATCTTCCCTGGCACTGAGGTCAGACTGACAGGTCTATAATTTCCTGGATTGTCCTTTCTGCTTCTCTTGTAGATGGGTGTCACATCTGCCACCCTCCAGTCCAATGGGACCTCCCTGGTTACCCATGATTTCAGGTTAATCATGGACAGTGGCTTGTCAAGCAAATCTGCCAACTCTTTCAGCACCCTTCAGGCAGCAAGTGAATTATAGTGATGCCTACTTATGGCATTCTTAAGATAATACATGGGTTTCATACACTACATTTTCAGCTAAGAATTTCCAGTATAGCTGTATTTAGGAATTGAGAACCAATCCCTGGTAAGACAGTACTCACTTTGTACAGCAGGGAGAAACAGAGGCTTTTAAACTCGGATAAAGATTCAAGAATAAATTCAACAACTTATTGTTGGCGTAAAAGTCTCCCTTATATTATATTACCCCACTATGCTGTGGTTAAAAGAGGGATTTCACATGACGATGCAAAACAGGAGGAAGTAGGGAAAAGTGCCCCTTTCATCACCACATGATCTGGTGTGGCTTTGCTCAATTTTAATCCTAAAATAGACTGAATTAAGAAATACTCCTTTCTCAGCCTGCCTTTGCTGTATGACCAAGTACTTTCCTGAAATAAAGTTGTTTCTACCTTGCCTTCCTGACACTAACAGTCTCTCCCTCTCAGAATGGTCTTCCGTCTGCCACTTTTTGTGACACTTAAGACTAGAAATACAATAGAAAACTGCATGTGTGAATAGGTAAGAGTGGAGAATACAGAGAATCGTCCTGGAAGCTTGGTCCAGCACATGTGTTCTTTCCCAGTCAGACAATTCAAGTCATGTGTCCTCACAACATGCAGACAGCCTGACAGAAATACAAAGAACAAAGTGGCAGCAACATCTGCACAGGAATTGAGGACACAACCTGCCAGAGAATCTTCACACCACAGATCTAGTAAATTAATCTTTCCATACGGAACTTTTAAACAGCAACCAACCACTTTGATTTCATGGCCTTTAACCACTCTCTCCATTGTAATGTGCTTTTTATCAGGAACATTTTAGGAGAAACTTTAGCATCAGGAAATGTTTGGTTACGACTTTATATGTCAGCATACTTGCCATTCCAGACCCTTTGCAGTGGCTTAGAAACAGTATTTCTGCCCTAGGATATTTATGAAACACCAGTTTTGAAGCAGTGTAGTTCTAGCTTAAATTCATACTGTGGGAAAGTAATATTGTGGACAGTCAGGAAGTTAGCAAGAGACCAAGTAGACAGACAACAGTACAACCTTTCAGGGCTACAAAGTCTTCAGTAACATGACTAAGGACACAGTTATACTTGCAGATGCATTGGAATGACCTTTTTAAGTAACCCTCTAGTTTCACTCGAGTTTCAGCAAAGGCAAAGTGTGACAAGACATCCTGGAAAGGTTTTGTACAGCTTCCTTCACCTATGCTGTCACTGTACATTTCTAGCAGGGTGGGGCTTTTTTTTCTTGCTACGTAATGTTCTTGTGCTGTGTCAATTTAACTGCAAGCGAGCAGCAGGGCTTGACATTGCTTTTCTGCAGAACCAGTGTTTTATACTCTTAAAGGATACACTGACTTCTGCTTGAGAAGGCACATTCATTTTTTAGTTTTCCATATACAGCCAAATTCTTACTATGATTTTCCATTTCTCCCTTCCAGCAGTCTTGCATCATGGAACACCTACTCTTCCTTCCAGCATTAAAATGTTTGCAGGTTACAGTGCCTGATCTTGGCTGCCAGACTGCCCGCATTCACAGCATGGTAATCCTCAAGCACATTAATAATTCTTCATCAGTCTCAACAGTCTCAACAATGTCCTCAGTGACTTGGTGAGCAAAGATTTGGGTTTCCATCTTGCATACTTGGTAAGGCAAAACTTTATGTGTTATCTTTGTAATCACTGAACTTAGGAAAACTGTTCAACAGGTGGGGTGTGATACTTACTCCCTTTTTCCAGGTCTTTCAGAATAAAGTACCTGTAAGTGATAGGAAGTTCACATACCAGTATGTATGCAGAATCACTCCTATGCTGTTCTGTATGTTCAACAGACTCCAAAAGGACACCTACTTGCTGCTTTTTGTGACCAGATAAATCTGCTGTTATAGGCCAGCAATAAGGCAGAGCTAATTTATGCTTCTCTACCCAATGGGTTTCAATACTGTTTTCTTATTCTTTGGTTTGAAACATGTGACCCCCACAGACGCTGAATACTTTCTATTCTTCCCCATAGCCTACAAAGTGGACACGGCAGCAATTTCAGATGTGCAACCAGGATACATTTTGCTTGACGCTGCAGTACTTCCTGCTGTGCCCTTCTAGATCACACACATCCTCCGCCCCATCCTGCGCTTGCCTCCTCACCACCCTATGTCCCGGATCCCACCGGTCAGAAAGGGCAGTGTGCAGAAGGTGTAACCAGAGAAACAAAATTCCGAAAGAAAAGGCGCTTATTCGGTCCCTACGGCACGGCCAGGCTGAGGGTTCTCTGCGCTGTGCGACTGCCGATGAGTCCAAGGATGAAGCGGTGGGTATGAGACACGGCACTGGGGCAGAGCCCTGAAGACTGCCTGGCTGCTTCTAAGAAGAGACAGGAGGTGGTTTTGGCTCCGGCGAGCCTTGTCACCCCATCCTCCCTCGGCAGCAGCAGCCAGAGTTGCTCTCCAGAGCGCCGGCACAAGTAGGCAGGAGAGAGGGCTGTTTGCCCTACCTGCTCTGAGCCCCCTGCGCTCACTGTTGCTCGGGAACCCTTGCCCCAGCACCCTGCCGGCAGCTGCTCCTTTCTGCTCCCCCCGGTGCGAGGCCGCCCTTGCCCCTCCGAAGGACAGTCCCCGATGCCCGGTGCGGCCGCGCATCCCCCCGGCTGCGGGGGCTCCGCCAGCCACGCAGCGGGAGCGTCTCCTCGCGGCAGGGAGATC